AAGGGCAGGGCCAAGCTCGGCATCGGCGCCAGCGCAGACCTGGACCAATCGATCAGGTGGTGGGGCACGCTGGCGTCGTACCTGGTCGAGTTGCAGCGCTGCAATGGAAAGGGGCAGAGAGCTCTGCGGCTACTCGATGATTGCAGAGCTCTTAGCAGCACGATGCCCAGCGGCGGCATCATCAAGATGACGGCAAAGCAGAAGAGGAAGTGGCGAGTGGCGCACAGCGGCATCCACAGCAGGTCCAAAGAGCAAGAGCAGCACCTCGGCGTGGCCGCGCTCACCACAGCGAAGAAGGGGAAGCGAACTGAGGTCGGCGAAGCCTCGCTGGCCTACACGAACTGGGTGCAGGAGCAGGAGGCGGCAGGCAGCGGGAAGCTTTACCGCAAGGCGAAGGACAGGCCGAGGTGCGACAACGAGGTGCGCAGCCAGGGCATCACCGCCTCGGACATTGTGGAGTACATGGACGCGAAGGGAGCGCAGTGGAGCAAGAAGTGGAAAAGCAGCTTCAGCTCTCAGGCCATCCTGCAGCGCCTGGAGCTGTCACGAGAGGCGGCTATGGAGGAATAATGGGCACCCATCACCATCCAGAGCCTCGGCAACGCCATCAACGCGACGGCGAAGAGCAAGGCGAAGGGTGTCGAGCAGATGGGCGCCCTCGCATTCAAGTGGTTGCCCCCCCACGCCAGGGAGGAGCTGCGAGTGATCATCGAGGAGGTCGAGCGCATCGGCGCGTGGCCGTGGCAGCTGATGGTCACGCTCGTCAGCCTCTTGCGTAAGGGAGCAGGGGGAGATCGGGCGATCGGGCTGCTGCCTGAAGTGGTCAAGCTCTGGCCGAAGATGCGCAGTGATTACACCAACGAGTGGGTCGTCGCCATGGCGGGGAAATGGGGCACAGCGATCGCGGGGAACAGCGCTCTCAAGGAGGCCCTCGTTCGCCCCTTCTCCGACGAGGTGATCGAGTGGATGCCAGTGAAGGTCTACTCGGTGACGGCCTTGTGGGACTTAGCGGAGTTTTACGACACGCTGGAGCCCTTCCTCATCCTGGACGACGGGCTCAGGCTCGGTCTACCAGCGCGCACTTTGCACCTGGAGATGCTGGGTCAGATGAGCTCGCGCCTCATCAGAGAGAGGGCGGCCTGCGCTGAGCCGATCGCGCCTGATAGATCGATCTGCGCAGGAGCGAGGCGGGGCATTGATTTCGGCAGGGTCGCGCTCTACGGCGTGCTGGAGAGGGTGGACAACATGTACTAGCAGGTGAGAGTGCGATCGTGGGTTGACGACGTCACGACGAGGATGGGGGGCTCCAAGAGGGAGGTGGTCAGGCAGCTGACTGGCGCTGGTGTGGATTTCGCAGCAGGCGCGAAGAAGTCGAAGCTGACGCTCTCCACCAAGTCGGCGCTGATCGGCAACGACATGGACGTGGTTAAGGAGGTGGCGCTCAAGCTGCGCGCGCATGGTCACGGTGAAGGTGAAGAGCCAGGCGCCCGACTTGGGCATATACCGAGGCCACATCGTCGCGGGCGGCAAGGGCAAGCACGCGAAGAGGGTCGCACACGCTGGCAGACAAGTTGCGCGCGCCTTGAAGATGGCGCGCAGCGGCAGGCGCGCCAGAGGAGGTGCACGAGCAGTGGTGCAACGTGGGTCCTTGCCACGCGCCGCTTACTCGTGCAAGGTGTTTGGGATGGCGCCCAGCACCGTGCTGAAGTGGAGGGGGGGGGGCTGGCAGCTGCCATCGCCCCGAAGCTGCGGGGGCGGTGCCTCGCGACACTGCTCAGCACCGAGATTGCGAAGGGCGACCCCGCGTGCGGAGCCGTTTTCGCGCTGCTGGGCTCGTGGATGCACATCATCAGCGACAAAATGAGGAGGCAGGGGGTCAGCATCATCTGGCCGCGGATCGTCGAGAAGGCTTCGAAGCTGGACCCGACGGAGCGCTGGAAGGGGGTGGCGGGCGTCACCAGGGCGATGGTCAACACCTTGCTGGACCTGGGCTGGTCGATGCTGGGGCCGTGGCACTGGGTCTCGGACGACGGCGAGGAGTTCGGCAGCGACGACCCCACAGCGCTCGACGGCGACGTGGACACCAGCGGCCTGAAGCAGGCGATCGCCAGCACCATCGAGAGGAAACAGTGGCAGCAGGCGGCCAAGCACTACGCGGGCAGTGGCCTGGAGCAGGGCGTCGACATGCGCTCAGCGAGGGTGCCCACCAAGAAGCTCAAGAAGAAGGGCGGGTACGACAAGGTCGGCGCGCATTTGGCGTGCTTGGCGGGTGGCGTCTGGCCGCGGCAGCGCGTGGCTGATCTCGGGCTGGAGATCGAAGACGTCTCTTGCCCACGATGTGGAGAAGCACCAGGGACTTGACAGCACCGCATGTGGGAATGCAAATGCAACGAGCTGATAGAGGAGTGCCAGAAGTCCAAGCACCTGGGGGAAAAAAACAGCACGTGGAGTCGAGGAGCTGCCGTGCCTGTTGCTCAGAGGCATTTTGCCGAAGTCGTGGACGCAGGTACCTCCTCCACCAGAGCCAGGACAGGAGCTTCGTGAAGGAACCGCAGCCTGGAGAACCTTGGCGGTAGAGCCCCCCTAGGCACTCACAGCGCACCCTCTGCGCCCGAAAGGGACTCGAAGGCAGCTGGTACCGACCTAGGGGAGACAGGGCAAGGAGGCACTGAAGGTTGGCTCATCGCGGCTGGTGACGCGTCGGGCGGCGAGTACACTACGGACCCCAGGCTCAGGCGAGTGGCGTGGGGCTGGGTCGTGCTGCAGAGAGAGGGAGAGAGAGAGAGAGAGAGAGAAAGAGAAACAGAGAGCACGAACGAGCCGATGGTGGTGGCCGCGGCGCGAGCCGCGCTGGGCGGCTGGAGGCAGAGCGTGAACCGCGGCGAGTTGATGGCGCTGATGGAGCTGATGGTGGCGACGGGCGATTTCCCGAAGGTGCAGTACACCGCAGACTCGTCGTACGTCATGAGGGGCGTCGAGAGGATTCGACGTGGTAAGATGACCAAGGCGCACACCGACCTGTGGAGCGAGCTGAAGAAGGCTATGGTCGGCAGGGAGCTGCGTCTGATCAAGGTCGGGAGCCACATGTCGGCGGCGGAAGCTGTGGCGGCAGGAGTGGACCCGATCTGCTACCTCGGCAACTCGTTGGCGGACAGATTCGTGGATGGCATTATCGAGAGAGTACAGGTGCCACGAGGTGACGTGTGCCTAGTAGGCTGGTGCGACGGGATTGCGACGCTGATCAGGGTCAGAGGTCACGCGACGCTGATGGCGGCCATCGAGGTGGAGCCGTCCATGGCGCCGACGAAGCCTCAGCGGCACGAAACGTACCTGAAGAAGAAGCGGAGACAGCAGCGCATAGACAGCACGCAGCACGTGATCGAGACTGTCGACGGCGGCAAGCAATTCCGTTGCAGCAGATGCGGAGGATTGGTGCCAGTCGTAGGCGCAGGCACGGACGCGTGGCTGGAGGGCAAGTGCGTGAAGCTGGAGAGGGAGAAAGCGTCGGAGTACGGCGCTACCTCGGCGGGCGTGCAGATTGGCCACCTGAAGGCCCACGAATCGCACAGCTTGCAGTTCAACGAAGAGCTAGGCGTGCACTACTGCACGTCGTGCGGCTGCATTGCGCGGGAGACCATGAGGGCTCTGGCGAAGGAGTGCGGCGAGCTGAAGCAAATTGGGAGGCAGAACCTCGCGAACATCAAGCAGGGGTTCCAGCCAGGGACGAGCAAGTTCGCGCAGGAGTGGAACCGCAAGAAGAGGGAGATGGCGAGGTGAGCGTGCCCCGTTTGCGCACTCTCGCCCGTCGCTCAGACGGCCCCCAGCCTGGGGGACCAGCGCCGCAGGCCAGGTCTTACAACAGTCGTCGTCGTCGCCGTCGTCGTCAGCGTCGACGCCGTCGCGGTCGTCGTCTTCGTCGTCGTCGTCGTCGTCGTCATCGTCGTCGTCATCATCGCCGTCGTCGTCGTCGTCGTCGTCGTGGTAGTCGTGTTCGTGGTCGTCGTGGTCGTCGTGGTCGTCGCCGTTGTCGTCGTCATCGTCGTCGGTGAGCGTCGTCGTCGGTGAGCGTCACTATTGGTGGGCGTCGTCGTCGGTGAGCGTCGTCGTTGGGCAGCGTCGTCGCCGTCGTCGGTGAGCATCGTCGTCGTCGTCGTCGTCGGTGGCCGTCGTCGTCGTCGTCGGTGAGCGTCGTCGTCGGTGAGCGTCGACATCACCGCCGCCGCAACCATCGCCGTCGCCGCCTCCGTCATCGTCGTCGCCGCCGTCATCGTCGTCATCGACGCCGTTGTCTTCGTCGGTGAGCGTCGTCGTCGGCAAGCGTCGACAACACTGCCGACGCCGTCGTTGTCGGTTGCCGTCGTCCTCGTCGTCGTCGTCGTTGTCGTCGTCGGTGAGTGTCGTCGTCGGTGAGCGACGTCATCATCGCCGCCGACATTGTGGTCGTCGTCGTCGTCATCGTCGTGGTCCTCGTCGTTGTCCTCGTCGTCGTCGTCGTCATCGTCGTCGTCGTCGTCGTCGCTGCCGTCGTTGTCGGTAAGCGTCGTCGTCGGTGATCGTCGTCGTCGTCGTCCTTGCCGCCGCTGCCGCAATCGCCGTCGCCGTCGCCGCCGTCGCCGTCGTCTTCGTCGTCGTCGTCGTCGTCGGTGAGCGTCGTCGTCGGTGAGCGTCGTCGTCGGTGAGCGTCGTCGTCGGTGAGCGTCGTCGTCGTCGTCGTCGTCGTCGTCGTCGTCGTCGTCGTCGTCGTCGTCGTCTGTCGTCGTAGCCGCCGCCGTCGTCGTCATCGTCGTCGTCGTCGTCGGTGAGCGTCTCGTCGGTGATCGTCGTCATCGTGGTCGTCGTCGTCGTCGTCGATGTCGGAGAGTGTCGTCGCTGTCGTCGTCGTCGGTCGTCGTCGTCGCCGCCGCCGCCGCCGTCGTCGTCGTCGCCGCCGCCGCCGCCGCCACCGTCGTCGTCGTCGTCGCCGTCGTCGTCGTCGTCGTCGGTCGCCGGCAAGGGCCCGCCTGGCCAGGCAAGGCGGCGGGTTGGTAGAATGGCAGGGCCTGCTTGGCAGCCGCGCGGTAGGGCGGAGCGCGGCCGTGGCCAGAGGCCGCACGGCCCCGCCTGGGGGGGCCCCTGTTGGGTCGGACGAAGGGAGGGGGGATGGTAGGAGGCCCTCCAAGACGGCCCCCACAGAGCCCGTCCAGAGACCCCCCCGCGTCGTGAAAAAATCATGACGGGATGATTTTCGAAATCTCCTGCCTCCAGGGACCCTTGCCGGGCCTCGTCAAAAACGACTCAGGATGAAAAGCCGGTCGCGGGGAAGGGGTCCAGACCTCTCGGGGTCGACGTTGTGGAAAAACACGACGTCGGGGGTCTGGGGAAGCCCACACGACTGCCCCGCTAGGACACCCAAGAGAGCCCCCAGACGGCCCAGGAGCGCCTCGACACGACCCACAAGCCGGGGCAGGAGAACCGGGGGGGGGGATAGCAAAGGGGGGGTGGGCTAGCAAATCAGCTCGCGTAACCGGTTATCCTGGCGCCTATCGGCGCCAGATGCGCTCATGTATCGAGGAAGTCGTCAGGCGGCGGGGCCGAAACCAGCTGCATGTAAAGAGTTCGCCCTCCCTGCCAATCCACTCTTTCGCGCGACCCGAACCAGACTGCGAGGCGGCCCCAAGAATCCCAAGGCATCGAGGTCAAAGGATCGAGGTTCGAAGATCGCGGTTCGAGGACTGAGGCTATGCATCGGCGATTTCGTGCATGTTGAATCCTTTGTCGGGCCTCTGGAGGCCTGCAAACGCACCCAGGATCCCCAGGGGCCATCAGGGACCAAGGCATCCAGCGGCTCGAACAAATCGAGGCGGCCAAAAGTTGTCGTCATCTTGGCCCGCCTCGGGTCCTGGGGCCCTGGAGCCGTCAGAAAAACGACCGGGGATGAAAGATCGGGCCCGTCTGGTGGGGGCGGAGAAACTCAAGGGCCCACTTCTCACATACTCGAACCGCTGGACGTCTGGGCAACGTGAAGACCGGCGGTTCTCCCAGTCACTCTCGGCCTCCGCGAACAGTCTTTCTGAGCACGGGGGCCCTCGGAACGCTGGCGTTGGTCGTCCAGAGCGTCGGGGGCCGACGTCGGACCAACAAACACCCCCCCCCCGCCCGAGGCTCCAGGAGGCCCCCAGCCCCCCCCTTGGTGGCGCTTGGATGGCTCAGCCCGCGGGGCGGCGGACGATGGTGCACCCCTGCAGATACATGACGTTGTCCACGAGCACGTCCAGGGTGGCGGCTGGCAGGCCCTCCTGCAGATGCAGAGACGACGACACGGAGCACCCGACGCAGTGCTAACGCATAGCCAAAGACTAGTACACCCAAGCATAGTTGTTTTAGCGAGGGGTTCTCCTGAGTGTTCGCGCGTCTTCCTGCTCCTGATCCACCTGCGCCTGCGGCGTCGTCGTCGAGCTTTTCGTCGTCGTCCTCCTCCTCCTCCTCCGCATCCACGTCACTATCCTTCTCGCCCTCGCCCCTTCCACTACACCTCTTCCTTAAAATTCGCCTCCTCTCTTCCTCCCGCTCCTCCCTCTCCTCTTCCTCCTCCTCCTCCTGATCTTCCTGGTCCTCCTCCTCCCCTCCTCCTCCGCCTGTATTTCCTCATTTCGCTCCTCCTTCGTCCCCTCCTCATGCAAATCCTACTCACCCAACTGGTACTTTTCCTCCTCGACGTTTTCTTCTTCATTCTCCCTTCTCCTCCTCATCCTCTACCTTCTCATTGCACTCCTTTTCGTTTTCCTCCTCCTGCTCCTCCTGCTCGCAGCGCTCCTCCTTATAATCCTAGTTCTCCGCCTCGTGTTGCTCGCTCCCCTTCTCCTTTTCGCAGTGTTCCTTTTCCTCCTCCTGCACCTGCTCCTCCTCGTCCCCCTCCTCCTCCTCCTCCTCCTCCTCCTCCTCCTCAATCCCTTCTCCGTGAGGATAGCTCCTCCCTGTCGCACCCCGAGGCCGGTCCAAGGGAGGGTTGGGCGTTTCGCCTGAGACTTTCTCACGATGTAAGATCCTGAAGTTAAAATTTACATGAGCTTCACAGATGGAGGGCGGCCCGTTTGCAACATGCTTACGCGCCGCGCACACTCGTCATAACTTGATGCAAGAGTTTCACGGGTGGATGGCGGCCCGTTATCAAAATGTGGCTATCGCCTAGCGCCGCGCACATTCGTCTTAAGTGTTTACAATCGTTTCAAGGTTATCATGGCTAACGTCCCAGAGCTGGCGCTTCAGCACGATGTCAGGATGTCAAGGAGCAACAGTCACGTTGATTCGGGGAGTTGAAGCCCCAGGGGCATTCTCGGCCACGATTTGCTCAAGCATGGCCCCTCCCCGAAAAACCTTCGGCAATTACCAAGGAATCGCGCCCGCGCGTCAGCACCAGCTACCTCCTCCGTCGGGCCTGGGGCGCTCAGACCCCTCCACAAGAAGACTTCGACAACACAAGAGTACTCGAATGGTTCGTTTGGGTCTGAGCCCCCCTCCCTCCTCCCTCCTCCCTCTCGGAGACAGGACCTGTGAGGATGTTTCATGCGAAACATTTCAGACAATCTCGCGCACAGCACCTCGGAGCTCGGACTCGCGAGAATGTTTCCAGCGAAATGGGCCACAGACCACATTGCGTACATTTTCTCAGTGCTCAGAGTTGCAAGGATGTCTCCTGCGACACAGGCCAGGCCACCTCGCGCGTGGCACCACCTCGCGCGCGACATCTCTGGGAACCCAGAGTTGCGAGGATGGACCTGGCGGCGCCCAGACCCCTCACAGAGCACAATTCGACATCAACAGTGTCATCAAATTGTTCGTTTGAGTCTGGCCCTTCCTCCCTCTCTCTCTCCTCCCTCTCGGAGCCAAAATCTTACAGGATGTCTCAAACGAAACGCGCCGGACCACCTCGCAAGCAGCATGCCAGGGGCCGGAATTGCGAGGTGGTCTCTGGCGAGACAGGCCGGACCACCTCGCGCGCGGCGTCTTGGAGCCCAGAACTGCAAGGATTTCTGCGGCGAAACGGTCCGGACCACCTCGCGCGCGGCATCTAAGAGCTCAGAGATGCGAGGAACCACCTCTCGCGCGGCATGCGAGGATGAACCAGGCAGGCGGCACTCCTGTCAGAGCATGTATTCGACAGCAGGGAGATAGACAAATGCTTCGCTTGGGTCTGACCCCTCCTCCCTCCTCCCTCCTCCCTCGGGCCATCAGGTACGCCTACACGTTGTCGAGACCGTGAGCATTTGGCCTCAGGTATCTGTATGTCCAAGAGTTCGAGGCGCAGACTCGAGCGCTCAAGTCTGTCTGCACGACAGGCGCCCATGCATGGGCTTCGATCCTGAGCGAGCGTGAGGCCGAGCGTACCTCGCAATACAAATATTATTTTCTCGTCCTCGGTTGCCGGCCTTGGTCGGGCGTCGGGCAAGAACGCTTCCAGGTCAGAGCAGCGGTCGGCGCAGATCCGAGTTGATCCATGAGAAGCGGGCATGTGCAGAGCTTGTGGGGATATTCTGGCACTTGCGCAGCATGTCATGGTCCAGTTGCTTTTGGCCTGGACCTGGGGATCATGACGACCGCCCCCACTGCTGGCTGTGATTTTCGTTGCGCTTCTCGGGTGCACAGCCATGGCAGCCGCGCAAGCGTGGCCATCCCCTTCGGCGCCGTAAGCATTGCAAGGACGTGGCCGCGTTGAGCCTATGTGGGCGTACCTATGCCCCAAAATGACTGGGGATGAGGCCGATGCTGTCATTGCACGGGCATGGAGACAGGTCCCAGGTTCGCTGGGGAGCATGGTTGCAGCTTCATGAGGATGAGTATTGAGCGAATATTCACTGCGCCTTTGGCCTGCGGGTGCATCGTCCCGACGGGGTCGCTGCAGTCTGAAAGCGTTTACTCACTTACTCTTTGTGTCGAGATTTCTGCGCCTCTGGAGTGCGATGCAGACGCATGCGCCGAAAGAATGGGGCCATACGTATGCTTCGTGTTCTTCCACATGAGTGGTTGTTCACCATGCAGACGAAACCACAGGAGGTAAGGAGCTTCTTTTCGGCCGTCGTCAGGGACACCGCGCCGGTTGCATCCTTATTTGCACCTGGCAATGCGTGCGGCACCGTGTACGTGCGATGGAGATCACTGTGGTGTGTACTTGGGCAAGGCTGACTTATGCAGATGTCGTGATCGATCAAAGTATCTCGAACGATTGAATGACCATTTTACAACGATATTCAAACCGGACACCCCTGGCGGCAAATCCAGAAGATCTCTGCATACGCGTGAATCCGTTGCGTTCTTGCCTGTGCTGCCGTGCGTAACGGCAGACTACCACACCAAGGTGGCTGCGCTGGATTTGGTGGCTATCAAGATGGAGCGTCCGTCTTGCAGCACTAGAGGAACAGCAAACGGCATCAACACACACACACACACACACGCACGCACACACACACACACGCGCACGCACGCACGCACGCGCGCACGCGCACGCGCACGCGCACGCGCACGCGCACGCGCACGCGCACGCGCACGCGCACGCGCACGCGCACGCGCACGCGCACGCGCGCGCACGCGCACGCGCACGCGCACGCGCACGCGCACGCGCACGCGCACGCGCACGCGCACGCGCACGCGCACGCGCACGCGCACGCGCACGCGCACGCGCACGCGCACGCGCACGCGCACGCGCACGCGCACGCGCACGCGCACGCGCACGCGCACGCGCACGCGCACGCGCACGCGCACGCGCACACGCACACGCACACGCACACGCACACGCACATGCACACGCACACGCACACGCACACGTACACGCACGCAATCATACTCACGCAGACACACAAACGCACACACACACACACACACACACACACACACACACACACACACACACACACACACACACACACACACACACACACACACACCCACACTCACACGCACACGCACACGCACACGCACACGCACACGCACACGCACACGCACACGCACACGCACACGCACACTCACACGCACACTCACACGCACACGCACACGCACACGCACACGCACACGCACACGCACACGCACACGCACACGCACACGCACACGCACACGCACACGCACACGCACACGCACACGCACACGCACACGCACACGCACACGCACGCGCACACGCAC